GGGGGGAGGGCGGCTGGGAGGTTGGCCTTGACCGAGGGCAACGTTGGGGCAGGGGGGGGTGGTAGCTGCAAGGTGGGCACGAGAGAAGAGGTCGCTGGGGAGGCGCACGCCTTTCCTCTCTCTCTCTCTCTCCGGTCCGGAGAGAAGGGACGGAATGGAAAGGGGACGACCCTGCCGTCGATTCAGATGATTGAGGAACAGCATATATATATTTTATGCAGCTGATGTCTGTTGACGTACACGCGCTCATTTGAATTCTTGACTGCTGCTTGTGTATTCCGAGTATTTTTTTCTTTTGACTTGAAATAAAATTTCTTTGAATAATAATTTTACGAGGGTGGGATCTTTAACTTGCCAACGCACTACTACTCGCTGAGAAAGGGAACGTGAGGCACTAGTCTTGCGCGGGCCTGGGGGTGCAGGGTACAGGAGTCGTGGGGCTAACCAGTGGTGTCGGACGGCTACCAACTTCTCACTCTAACAGCTTAACATGTGCAGACACGTGGTAACCCTCCAAGTGCCAAGTACGGACAGCATGCACACGGCCCACCACCACCACCCCCCTGTCTCCAGGCAGGCCCGCACGTCCGCTCCGCGAAGGGGTATCTGCAGGACCAGCTCGGCAGCCCTACCCCTTGGTGGTGCGCGTCGAGGTCCCCCAAAACGGCGTCGAGACACCGCGCGGTTGCTCGTGCGGGGGCAGCGCGGGGGCTGCCACGATCGATATCGGCACGGGCACGGGGGCGGCGACGAGGTCGGCCTGCGCCGATACTCTTGCGCGCCCCCGGACGCGAGGGGTAGGTCCGACCCGGTGCGACCTCTCACCCAACCCCCACCCCCGCCCGCAGCCGAGTGAAGTTCAGAGGTTCAGAGGTGGGGTGTTGGAGATCACACGGTACTCACCGGTATTGCCAGACAATGAAGCCGAGGATCATGCTGGAGACGGCGATGCTGGCGCCGATGAAGATGGCTGCAACCGACAAAACGGCGGATTTAAGTTGTTGTTTTATTTTATTTCAAGTAGTTCTTCAGCTAAATCTTCGTTCGTCTCGATTAAAAGTTAGTTAGAAAGAGTCGTTTGACATTATTACAAAAAGTACGCACCCAGCTTGCCGACGTCGTCCATCCCGAAGAACCAGTGGTCCTTGGGGAAGGTGAGCTGCTTCTTGACCACGGGGTAGTCGTGGTTGGACAGGTTGGAGCCCCGGCCGCTCTCGTCGTCCAGCCTGCTGTCCCTGGTCGCGGTCGGCTTGGGCTGGTGCCGGATGCCCTCCGGGACGACCGGCGGCGTCACGCGCGACCCCTGCTGCTGGCGCTGCTGCTGCCTCTGCTGCGGCAGCCACATGTCGTCGCCGACTGCGCCCAGGTCCTCGTCGACGTCCACCATGTCGTCCGGCTGGTCGGGCTGCTGCTCCGAGGACACGCCCAGGTCCATCGGGATGCTGAGGCCCGAGGCGCTGCGGATGAGCGCCTGGCGCACCCCCGAGGAGCCCTCGTCGTACTGGTCCTCCTGGGGCTGCGAGCCGTCCACCCCACCCGACCGGGAAACCAGGTACTGCAGGCGGGGGTCTGTGACGAGACAAGAGTCACAACGTTAAGGGTGGCGGGGGTCTCGCAACAGGCGTGGTTACTCTTCTTGAGATGATACTGGCGTAAGCCTTTCGAGAAGTTGTTGAAAACGAGATACAGACTGAAGGTGCGTTCAGCAAACGTGTTTCCAATCAAATATTATGAGTAACGACTAAATCAGGATTTGAGCGATGAGCCGACAGGTTTGCAGCCTCAATGAGGAAGCTGCCCGATAAGAGGAACAAGAAGGTTGCTCTGAGGGTGTGGCAGAAGATGAGCGACTGTCTAGCAGAGGTTAGGATACGTGTCGTTAGATTTCAAACAGTCTAGAACGGACCTATGCAATGCATCTAGCACCTTGCTACCACCTTTACCAAGGTTGAGTCATTATCATTGAGTGAAATAGTACCAATGCAATATGCCCGTACACTAACCTAAACAACGACACCACCGGGACGGTTTAGAAGATTGTGTAAACTTACTTTTCCGAAGCCAAACAGAAGACTTTTTGGCATGAGAAAACTACGCCGATGTAGTCTGGACCCAAATTTTCTTTTAATTCTACAAAACTTGGATTATGATTACACATCCACTCGCGACCAAACACGTTATGGTCGCATGGTCGCATGCCTTCTGCTTTGTTAGGGAACGGCGCTACGCCACGCCATCACCTCAGTGCTACCTTCTTCTTCTTCCTTCTCTTGTCGGGCAGCTTCCTCATAGATCGATAAACTAAAATCAAGTTTTGGACTGTTTTACTTCTATTCATGAACGATTATAGTATGAAAGTCGAAACCATCCCGTACACCCACTACTTTATTACAATGTCGTGTTCTAGAACTATGTCGTGTTACTAGGTTAGTCGACTGACTCCCTTTGACCAGATCAACCCCAACCCCCTCCTCGGGTAGATATTGTGGTTGGTCAACGCCGCCGATAAGCTTTCATTAGGGGGCCAGCGAGCACTTTAGATTACGGACCCAATATCACCAACCTACCTACACCACATAACACGATCGACTCACCTTCCTGCCAGAAGCGGGGATCCGCGGGGTTGATGGCGAACCTCGAGCTCTGTTCGGGCTTCTGGAAGGTGTATGTGAAAGGCGGCTGCTGCTGCTGTTGTGGCTGCTGCTGCGTCTGCTGCTGCTGCAGCAGCATCTTCTGCGCCGTGCTGGGGTCCATCTGCTCGTGCTGCGCCTGCAGCAGCATCTGCTGCTGCCGGTCTTGCGTCTGCTGCTGCTGCTGCGCCTGCCACTGCATCTCGCGCTGGCGCTGCTGCGTCTGCTGCGTCTGCCGCTCCGCGTCGTTGAGCAGCTCGGCGATCAGGTCGCTGACGGCGGGCTGCTGCTGTTGCTGCAGGCCCTGCTGGCTGAGCGAGGCGAGCACCTGGTCCCAGTAGCGCTGCCAAATCGGGCCGACCTGGTCCACCGAGCCGACCTGGGGCCCTAGGGACCTCATGTACGTCCGGAGCAGCGTCTGGTCGATGGCCGGGACGCTCGGCTGCTGCGTGAGCGCGCGCGCGATGTCGTACGCGTCGTCCAGGTCCTCGAGCTGCTGCTCGTCCTTGGCCGCGGCCACGGCCTCCTCCTGCTTGGCCTTGGCCGCCGCCGCGGCCTGGCGGGCCTCCTCCTGCTGCTGCTTGGCGTACAGCGCCTTGGCCTCCTCCTGTTGGGCGGCCACCTCCTGCTGCTTGGACAGGGCGGCCTTGGCGGCCTCCGCCTGCCGGGCCTTGGCCGCCTCCTGCGCCGCCTTGGTCTCGGCCTCCTGCTGCCGGGCGAGCGTGGCCTTAGACACGGCCTCCTTCTGCTGCTTGGCGAGGGCGGCCCGCGCTGCCTCTTGCCAGTAGAGCTGCATCTGCCGCTCCGTGTCGTCCGCCGGCCTCTGCTGCTGCTGCTGCGGTGCCTTGGCCGAGGCCTTGGTCTCCTGCGCTGGCCGCGGTCGCACCTGCTGCTGCTGCTGCTGCTGCGGTGACTCGTGGCTCGCTCGCTCCCCCTGCAGCTGTTTCTGCAGGCTGTCCTCCTGCTGCTGCTGCTGTTTCTGCTGCTGCCTCTCCTTCTCCTCCTGCTCCTCCCTCAGCCTGGACAGCCGCAGGCGCTGGGCGGCCAGGTCTCTGCCACCCTCCTTCGACGGACCCATCAGCATGGAGATGCGGTCCACGAACTCATCCTCCGAATCTGCGAACAGAAAGCAGAAAAGTCACGTAAGTAAAAGAGCGTTGATACAGAATTAATCAGATTTGTACTGTGGCAAACTAGTGTTGCAGGATGTAAGAGGACAATAACAAATAATTGATTGACTGCTGCCTGTGTGCGTAATTATTTTATTTTCTACGGAAAGGATTTTGCTGTCCGATAGAAACAAGGATTTCGACGCAAAGTTGAACTCACAGGGGGAATGGGGAGCAGGGGCGTTTTGACAGGCGAGGCCACGCAGCGAAGGCGCCCGCGCTGCGCCAACGAAAAGCCGCCTTAACTGAGCTAACTTCTCCATCCTTTCGCTCACATCCCCTCCTTTTTCTCTCTCTCTGCCCGGCCATCTTTATGTATCTCCCTCCTCCCGCTGCACCAAGGCTCACGGCTCCTTTTGCCCAGCCCGTTTCTTTTTTTTTTATTGTGAATCTGCCCCCCC